CTTTTTGGTCTTTTTGAGACAAGGTCTCCCTGTAGCCCCAGCTGTCCTGGAACTCACTATGTAGACCAGGCTGGCCTTGAACTCACAGAGATCCTCCTGCCTCTGCCTCCCTTTGGAATGTAACTCAAGTCAGGGCCCCATCTTTGGAACCCTCTCCCTCTCCTGCCCATTAGCACCTCACACTCAACCCCAAACCTTATACATATCCTAAATGTAGTAACAGTCTCCTCTCCATTTTCAGAGCAAGGATTAAGTGAGGTGGATGGTAAATTTCATCTCCCATCCCCAGGGTGACTCACTACTTGATCGCTGTATATTCTAAGAGCTGGCACCAAATGGAATTACAAGGCTAAGTCCTAGGGGGAAGTCGTAGGTGGTTTTGATTTACCCACTGTCTTGGATTACTTGTGTAAGCTTGCCCTAGCTGGCATTACAAAGAGGAAACCATGTATGTCCTGGTACTAGAGAGCCCTAGCTAGGTCCCCATCTCTCCTAATCTCCAAGCTTAGGGCTCCTCTCCAGTGCCTTAGCTCCTCTAAAGTCCTCTAAATTCACACTCACATCAGTGGCCTTCTTCTCAGCCTGCTCCAGTTTCTCCTGGGCATCCTTCACAGACTCAGAATACTTTTCCACCTCATCCTCTGTCCCCTTCAGCTTCTTCTGGAGGGCCTGTTGCTCTTCCTCCAGCTGTGGAAGAGGGGACAGGGTTAGCCAGGTCTGGGTGTCCAGAGGAAAGGAGGAAGGGCTTGGGGTGGGGGGGGGTGTTACTAGGAGATTGTTAGGGAAGAGTACGGATAAAAGGAAGGACAATCCAGTAAGGAGTGTTGGGGGACCCTGGGAGAAGAGAGTATCAAGTCCCAAGGGACAGGACTCAGTGCTGCTTTGCAAGGGCAGGAGAGGTAACTGGGGACTCTCAGGCTATAGTGGGTGGGGTTTTGAAAGCTCTAGCTAGGGCAGGAGAGGGTCCGGTGAAGGCCCAGCTCCCACATTGGTGGGAAAGCCTGGGAGAGCAGGCCCAAGGCTGGGGTTGGGAAGGCGACACTGGGCCCCACCTGCTTGCAGCGGTCCTCAGCTTGCTTCTTGTCGGCTTCGGCCTGTTCGGCGCGGTCGATGGCATTCTCCTTGTCCAACTTCAGCATCTGCATCTTCTTCTTGATGGCGTCCATGGCTGCGGTGGGGGGTGGGCCGGTCGGCGGTCGGTGAGGACTCGGTGGACTGGGCTGGCTGTGAGCACTGGACTCACGGAGGACACGTCAGGAGGACCAACGAGGACTGGGATGTCCCAGCCCTGCGGGCGCCTAAAAGGCGGGGAGGGGCCGGGCGGAGCCGGGGACCAGGACCCTCCCCCACCGCGGCCGAAACCTTGTAGGGGCAGAAGCACTGCAGGGCCGGGGGGGCGCGGCCGCCCTGTGCGCCCACCCCCTCGGGTCCGCCCCCTCGGGTCCCGCCCCTGCCTCTCCGCCTCCCAGGCAAGCCGTCGGAAGGGAAACCAGCCCACTGTGAACTGTAGAAACCTTGGGCTGCGGAGGGGACCGGACTCGGGCCGGGGGCTCTGCGCTTCCTCTGAGTGACAGCCGGGGCCCAGTGGCAGCTGTGGCTGGGGCCCCCGGGGCTATTTCAGGGCGTGAGCTCACGGCAGCTGCCCTGGCCCAGGGACCCGCGTGCCCCCCCTCAGCTAGCAGCAGCCGCTGCCCTTAATTTAGAAGTTTCCTCTAAATCCCTCCAGATTAAATGTCTCTTGGGAGGGCAGATCTTCTGCGGGCCTCGAGTGCCTCAGTTTACCCTGGGTTTCAGACTCCAGGTTTGCCCTACCGACATGGAAGTGCTAGTGGAGCCTCATCTTGTGCTTGGGGAAACTGAGGCAGGAAGCCTGCTGTCCCGGAGGGAGGGCCTGGTCTTTACCACCCCGGCGTCCCCTCCCAGCCCCGGGCCCTGGAGCCAGTCCTCAGCAGGCGGCCTCCTGCCCCGCCCCCCACGTGCCCCGCATACTTTCCACGCGGCTGCGGCGGGCCTGGCCAGGACCCGCTCCCCACCCCCCCCACTCCCACCCAGGACGCGGCGCTCCCGCCCCTTGGGCGCTGTCTGCTCCTTTCTCGCCCCTCGCTCTCTCCCCCGCGCCCGCCCTTCTCCTCCCCTTCTCCCAGGAGAGCGGATTCAGCTCTCTTCCCCAGTGAGCCAACTTTACTCCGAAATTTCTTTTCTGCCCTTTTTTGGGATGTTTCCCTGTGGGGAGGCGGGGCCCGGACGCCGGGGAGACTTAGGGAGAATTACGCAGCCATCCGGGAGGCGGGCGGTGAGAGGTCCCCTCCGCCTGAGGCCTCAGAAACCGCTGGGAGCAGGGAGCTGGGATCGGGAAGCGGGGTGCAGGGGCGGGGGAGGAAGTGCAGAGGCGCCCGGGAGGAGGGAGCTCACCGAGGGAGCCTGGGAGCCGCTCGCTTCGGCTTGGCGCGGAGGGGCGGGGGGCCTGGGACTTCCTGGCGGGCTGGGGACCGTGGGAATCCTAGGCAGAGGGCCAGCCCGTGGGGAGGGGGCACGAAATGAATTCGGATCTGCTTTGCTGCCTGCTTACTAGACTCGGAACACACCTGACCTGAATGTTGACTCCAACCCACCGCTGTGTGTTCCCCAAACTCGAAAGACAAAGGCGTCTCAAGACATCTAATATGCCTATGCCAGACCCATGCCGTCTCCTTGCTACGATTAGATTCCTCCTTGAAGTCCAATGGGACTCCGAGTGTGCCTTGCAGCACACCCCCTTGTTTCTCAGTCTGTTGTGGCCTGGCACCTGGTTCCCCAACTCCTTCAAAGACTTTTTTTTTGTCTTTTTGAGACAGGGTCTCCCGGTAGCTCCAGCTGGCCTGGAACTTACTATGTAGACCAGGCTGGCCTCTGCCTCACAAGTGCTGAGATTAAAGGCGTTTGCCACCATGTCCGGCTTCAAAGACTTTTTTTTAAGTTAATGGAATAGATCTGAAATTCTCCAGTGCCTCCCTAATCCTTTTGTGCACTCAAGATATAAAAAAATAATAAAAAAAAATCCACATTTCTTAATATGGTGTAGCTCTCTCTCCCTTTGTTTGGGCCCCTGCCTACCTACCTCTCTATCCTCTTCCCCACCTTACTCCCCATACTCAGACTTTGCTTCATCTTACGTTCATACTGACCTATGTACAGGAGCTGGAAATAGCCCTACCTTTCTTAATAGTGTCCTCATTTTATGCATTCTGTTCCCTCTCCCTAAAATGCCCTTCCCCTAAGTTGACTCCTAGTGGCCTTTAAGCTCAGATCAAATGTCAGCTCTTCTGGGAAGACTTCCCTGGACTCTTCCCCTCCTGGCCCCTTCTACCTAATAGATGCTGGTCTGGTTCCTGGTGTAAGCTTTGGTTCTTATCCTAGTCCTATGCCACAGATTCATTTTCCATTCTGAATCCTTAGTGCTATCACGGTACCAGGTGTACAGTAGTACTTGCTAAACAGGCTCTGGGCACACAAATTAATATGATGAGGACATGGAGGAACCCTTGTTCTTGGTGGTGTGCTTCCCAACTTTTTTCAGTGTTAGAATGCCTTCCTTATTCTCCTAGAAACTACTGACGATCCCAAACAGTTTTTGTTGAGGTAGATTATATCATACATCGATACTTGCCATTTCAAGGTGGGAACTGAGAAAATGCAAAAATATTTTTTCATTTGTTAAACATAACAAAAGTAAAAGCTAAGGATGTATCTTAGTTGGCCGTGTGCTTGACTAACATGCACTAAGATGTAGATTTGATTCAAGGCACCACATAAATGGATGGGGTGATACATACCTGTAATCCCAGCACTAAGGAGGTAGAGGCAGGAGGATCAGAAATTCCAGGTCATCTTTGGCTATATATCCAGTTCAAGGCCAGCCTGAACTACATGAGATCTTGTTTCAATTAATAACCAAAAAAAAAAAAAGCAAATAAACCTATTGTGCAATGACCACCTTAATATAAATTTTTAAAATATTTTATTTATTGTTTTTATTTTATGTGTATGTGTGTATTGCCTGCATGTATGTGAGTGTACCCGTGTCGTGCAATGCCATGGAGGTCAGAAGAGGGCGTCAGATTCCCCTGGAACTGGAGTTAAGGACAGTTCATAGCCGCCATGTGGGTGCTGGGAATAGAACCCGGGTCCTCTGCAAGAGCAGTCAGTGCTCTTAACCACTGAGCCACCTCTCCAGCCCCTAAATAATGTTTTAAATAAAAAAGAAATATACCCAACTTCCTCAAATTACTGAAGCATAACAGTCATTTCTGTTAATCTTTTTTCTTGGGGGGGGGCGGGATTATCTCAGGGTTTCAAGCTACCTTTAAACTGCTGTGTAGCTGAGGATGTCCTTGAACTCCTTACCTTACCTTTCTGGGTAATTGTTTACTTATACATAATTTTGTTATGTACGCTTTCATGCCAGTTCATCAAACACATTACTGAAAAGACTTGACTAGGTGTGGTGGCACATGGCTATAATCCTAGCACTTGGAAGGTGGAGGTAGGAATCAGGAGTTCAAGGAGAATCTCAATAACATAATGAATGTAAGGCCAGGCTGGGCCACATGAGAGCCTGTCTCAAACAAGAACAGAGAAAAAGATGGAGGGAGGAGGATGAGGACGAGGAGGAAGAGGAAAGAAAGTAAGAAGGAAGGAAGGAAGGAAAAGAAAAACCAAAACCAAGAATGTTTTTGCTTAAGAATTAATATTCAGGAACTGGAGAGATGATTCAATGGTTAAGATCGCTTGCAGCTCTTTCAGAGGACCTACGTAGGTTTGGTTCCCAGCACCAATATCAGGTAGCTCACAGCCTATATCTCTGGTTCCAGGGGAACTCCCTGAGGAATCTTCCCAACTCCCAGCCTCTTAAAAAAAAAGCAAAAAAACAAAAGCCAGGCTGGAGAGATGGCTCAGTGGTCAAGAGCATTGGCTGCTCTTGCAGAGGACCTGGGTTCAGTTCCCAGCAACCACATGCTGCCTAATAATCTTCCTAACTCCGGTTCCAGGGGACCCAATGCCCTCTTCTGACTTCCTCTGGCATTGCACATGGGTGCACTTATATACTCATACACACAAAATTTAAAAAATTTTTGTAAAGAACTAGAGAGATGGCTTAGCAGGTAGGAATGCTTGGTGAGCAAGCATGAGGTTCTGAGCTCAAATCCCAGCACCCACATAAAAAGTTGGGTGTGACCATATGCCTGTAACCTCAGCACTGTGGTATGTGGAGACAGGAAGATTGCTGGGGCTTGCTATCCACCAGCATAGCTCCAGGCTCAGTGAGAGACTTAGTCTCAAGGGAATTAGGCAGACAGTGACAGACACCTGTCCTTCTCTGGCCTCCACATTTGTGTACACATATGCATGTATACTACATACATATATGATATTCACACACATAAATATACACACATATACTCATACTAAAAATTAAGATTCAGTAAAATTGGGGCTGGAGAGATGGCTCAGCAGTTAAGAACACTGGTTCTTGCAGAAGACCCGGGTTTGAATCCTAGCGGCCACATGGCAGCTAACAACTGTCTGTAACTCCAGTTCCAGGGGATCCGACAGCCTCTTCTGACCTCCATGGGCACTGCATGACATGGGTGCAGTTACCTACATGCAGGCAATACATGCATACACATATAAAAATAAATACAATTAAAATTTTTTTAAAGATTCAGTAAAATTAATCATTTTTACTATTTATTCAAGAGCACTTTTTTCCCTTTTTTGAGACAAGGTTTTCATGTAGCCTAAACTGGCCTTGAACTCTTGATCTTCCCTCCTCTACCTCTCTCATGCTGGGATTACAGGGAAGTGCCACAATGCCTAGGATATTCCAGAACCTTCTTTTTTTAAAAAAATATTTTATTATTTTTATTTTATGTATGAGTATATTGCCTGCATGTAGGTAAGTGCACCCGTGTCGTGCAATGCCTGTGGAGGACAGAAGAGATCATAGGATCCCTTGGAACTGGAGTTACAGTTGTTAGCTGCCATGTGGGTGCTGGGATTCGAACTCGGGTCTTCTGCAAGAACAGTGTTCTTAACCGCTGAGTAATCTCTCCAGCCCCTTGAGAACCTTCCTAAATGAAGCTGGAATTTATTTCTTATATTAGTAACAGTGAACACAATGGCTATTAGTACAATTTGGGGCTGCTGCTTTGATTTATGCCAAGATGGTTTTAGTCACCAATATTTTTGCACTGTGTAAATGCTGATGTGAAAAAGGAAATCAACAATTATAACATAATTTTCACCTTGGACACCTGAAAGGGTGTTGGGGAATCTCCAGGAGGGCGGGAGCCACATTTTAAGACCAGCTAAAGGGTATTAGACCCTCTCCCCAGGCTTCCAAGCTATCACCAGCCAGAGGTACGTG